TCATCAGCTCCTGCTGCACCTTCTGCATCCATGAAAACAGTTATGTCATCTACTCTTGTTAGCTCCTGCTGCACCAGATGTCATGATATTAGTAATGACTTCCTCTTTACAACACATGACAGCAGCTCTGTTATCAGCTCCTGTTGCACCACTACTCTTGTTGTTTCTCACACATGACAGTAGTTCTGTCATGACAGCAGATGGATGTCGTGATGGATGTCGACATTCAGTATGACATTCACATTAAACCACTCCACAGCAGTTCTGTCATCACAGCAGATAGAGATGTTATAACATCCTGCTTAACATCAGTGCAGGATCATGTTTTACCAAAATTTAGCCAATCATAGAACCATGGACAATTCTATATCATAGAGCCATGGAACTAACACCGATGATGAAATTTTCTGAGGGCCCGAAATAAATTAGAAACCATTTTTCGATATAAAAAAAATTAAATCCCACTGGCAATATTTTTTATCTGACGCTGTCTTATTTTGCAGGTTCTGGAAGCGTCGGAAGTGAAGAAACTCGAAAGTTGAAGATCGGACTTAGAGCTTAGAACTCTTAGGATTTAGCATTTTAGGACTTGATTTGTAATTCTTCAAAATGTGAAAATTCGGTATAATGTTGTAAACTGAATAATGTCGGAAATTAGTCTTGAATAAAATAAATAAATCCATTCTTGTAGAAAAAATGAATTTTATTCCTCATTTAAATTCCAAGTCGTATCTCGGATAAACCTGACTTTTGTAACCTGAAATTGAACCAAACTGATACTCGCGACAAAACCAAAACTAATATTCATTAGAGCTCTAATGCGAACCATAATTCCACTGCGCCTTTAAAATATACTTGTAATCAATAGAGAAAGAAAAGTGAATGCGGCTCGAACTTGCTCATATGACTTATTTGAAATAAATTCTCACACCGATTCAAATCCAAATCCATTCATGTTTTAACGCTCTCAAACCAATATGGTATTATTTTCCAATCATTCGACACGCCTGCAAAAACGAACAAACTAGGCAAACCGGTTAGCGGTTAGTAAAAAAAATGACAGATGAAATGAAATGCTAAATGATCAATGATCTAAGGATAAAATTTGGGGTATGACACATTTCTTCTTTTTCCTTCTTTTATCATATCATTGTTGAGCTTGTCTTCATCAAAACACATTGAAAGCTTATTTTCACAGGGAATTAATGTAGATGTTGTATATAATTTTGTGTTGTTGTTGTAGTATGTTACTATGTGATTGATGTGCATTTTCGAATTGAAAGGTATTGGAATCGCATGGTAATTTGGGTCTAATCTAGTGCAGAATCGCAACTGAGAAGTTGTAGGTTCGCACATTTTGCCGGACAAGCTTTTCGTGTCGTCGGGCGAAGTATTTTCGCCCCAACCTCGCTAGGCGAAAGGAGAGTCGAAAGGAGGGTGAATAATATGTGCTACTGGAATTTGTATGGGGGGTTTTCACCCTTACTTTGTCGGGCGAAGCCCAGGCGAGCGAACTGCTTTGGCGGGCGAGCAACAGGCGAGCAGGAGCAGATGTTTTATTTATTTATTTTATTATATTCCTTTTTCTCTTATGGTCTTGTTTTTTTGTTGACCTTGTGTCGTGGGGTAGTTGATGTATTGTGTATTAATGATTTTAACGTGACAAAATATGAAGTATTATGCTGAAATGTGATGTAAGAAATTGATGTTATTCTATGATGTTTTAGATGAATTCTCATGAATGATGATGCAACTTTGATGATCCTATGATGGTGAATACTATGACATTTGCATCACGCATTCATTGCATATTTAGGACTCCAGTCCAGTGTTGAGGTTAGGACTTCGGTCTAGTGTTGGCTTCAATCCCATTGTGTGGATTGAAGTGTTTATGATGTGCTCTGGTTCCAAAGGAGAGTCGATCATATGGTGGGGATCTCTAGAGGGTGATGGCCCTTTGTCCATCAATTGAATTGGTACCTCATGTATGATTTTGGTTGTTGCATTTCATACTATGTAGCATTGCATAACTGTGATAAAGGATGTTATTGATGGTGTGATTTTAAGTGGCGATGATGACTTATTGGCACTTATTGTCTTGATCCTATTGTACCTGCCTATCTTTTCTTTATATCTTGTATAATGATTTATGATTACTCACCCTGCCTGTTTGAATGTTGCCTCCATGTGGGTAACGTGCGGGTGATCAGTATTAGCTTTCTTGGTGCATGAAGGTGTAGTATTTGGAGAGTTTAGTTTTATTTTTCCGTTGAACATAGGAGGTGTCTTGCTCTAATATGTACATCAGGTCGGGATGTCTACGAGTGGAACTTTTATGTTCTAGTTTTATAGACATGATGTCACTATGTTGTTACTATTTTGTCGTTTTGAATTTTAACTACTTAAGATCATGATTTATGCTGCATTGTAGTTTTGGTTGCATTTATTGGTGAAATAACCCGCGTTACGGAGGAGGATGTTGATTGATGTTTTATAATGAAATGTGGCACACTTACAGTGATTTACTCTGATTTACTTATCTTTAATGAATTAATTTATTCGAGAGTACATTTTGGGGTAAAGGGGTGTTACATATTGACCCATAACATGGATGAAATGATATGCAGTGAATATGGCGATTTCGCCCTTCCATTTTATGAATGCACTTTCTCTATTTTAGGTTTTCGCCTGCCTTTTACTGCCTTCGAGATGTGAAGACAAGCTTCTATTTGATACTATGTTTTGATGAACACAAATATGTGGAAAGAAAGCCAAGCATGTGTATGCTCAAGTTAATATAAATAAGTCAAGCATCAATGGATGATTATGATTAAGATCAAGTTTCTTTATAGGATTGGATGATTATCAAGGTAGAAATATGAAATTCATTATCTATAGGCTATAAGTGCTTCAGCATATTCATTTAAAATCATTCTTTAAGTTTTTGCATTAAGCCTTTCAAAAAGCATATTTTAACTTGGCTTAAATAGTCGTTTGCTCCTTGTAAGTTGACGTGTTTTTGTTTTTCGTAGCTATATCTTTTTTTACAAGATAAAGTTCTTAAATGTTGAATTTTATTTTGTTTCAATCCCTAAAGTTAAAACCTGCGGATTTTAACTTTAAGGACTAAAACCAAAATTTAACACTCAGGGATTACTTCCAGATAAAAAAAAAGATACAGGAACGAAAAACAAAAACATGTCAATTTACAAGGACCTAAAGACCATTTAATCCTTTTAACTTAAAAACATTCAACATTTCAACATTTTTATTATGACAACTAATTGTCACTAGGCTGCAATTGATTGTCACATATCTCTGCCAACAAAAAACTCAAATTTTAAAACATGATAATCAATTGTTGGAATATGTGCAATCAATTGTTAGAATGCATTCTTAGGAAATTTTTTAATGTTAGAAAGCATACAATCGATTGTCTTATATGAAACTTTGAAAAATTCTAAAACATTTTGCACACCTCTTCCTTGCATACTTTCATCATACCTTTTCCAAATCAGTGTCATTTGATCATAATCATTTCTAAACATTGTCATAGTTTTTTAGAGGTGTCATGTGTGATATAAATTACAAAAAAAAAAAATTGTAAAAAACACATCTTTAAAAATATTTTCTAAACAATTCATCTACATCAATTATCATAAATTTCAAAAACTTTCTGCATTATTTTAAGATCATTCAATGATAAGTTTTTTAACACTTGGAGTCTACATAATTTTTTTTTATTCAATATATGTTCTAATAATACTCTAAAAATTAAAATCATATGAAAGATAAATATTCATTAATCATTCTCTTAAAAAACACTTCTAGAAAATTGTAAAAGATTTTTCTATATTTCTCTCTACTTAAGAAAAGTGAGAAATGGAAGAAATGATAGAATTTCCAAAAGTCTAACACATTCTCTAACACTTAAGCCTAAATAAGCCTAAAGGTATGCATATTGCAAAAAAATCCAACAAACACATCCTCTAACACTCAAGTCTAAATGAATTTAAGGGTCTGTTTGATTCAAATGAGGAGGATGGGAGGGGAAGGGAGAGATTTTAATTAAAAATGTATTTGGTTCAGAAGAGGAGGGGGAGGGATTTTATTAATAATTTACATTTTTATCCTTATGATCTTATATAAGTCATATGATATTAAAATTTGAAAAATACATGCGTATTTTTGTTGGTAATAAATTTTTTAATATTTAGTGATTAAAAAAGTATTTATTTGTCACATAAAATTAAAAAATTGAGTACAATTGATTCGACTTATAACTTTTCAACCTAAATTAAACTATATGTCAATAACATCGTTTAAATTGTGATGAATCATATAACAAAACAAATATATAAAATAACTTATAATTAAATATTAATGGTTCAAAATATTTAATAAAATGAATAAATAAAAATAAATAAAATGAATGGTTTACAATTTGATATAAAAGAAAATATGATAGAATATATAACAAAATTAAAAGAAAAAAATTAATATAACTAAACATATTTTTTTTTATAAAAAAAAGACAATGATTTATCTTAAGTATAGAAATTATAAAATAATTTGAAGGTGGAGAACAATTATAATAAGTTGATGGAAACAATCGAGAAAAAGCAGTAACACAAAAAAAAATGAATAATTTTAAAATACTGAAATTAAACTGAAGATATTTTAGTAAATATAATAATTTTTAAATATCAAAACTCATAGAAACTTAACATTTAATAATCTAGAGCACATTTAAGGACTTCGTCTTCTAAATTATATTGATATTAAAGATGCATGACCTAGATTTCGAGCTCCTAACATCTTCAATGTTGCAATTTTCAATTTTTTCCAATTGAAATCATAATCATACCTTTAGATGAACATGCACCTTCAACCTCATAATTATCATTTTGATTCACCATCTATTGCGCCAAAGGGAGGTCTTTTCTTCTATAGTCACGCATTTAGGGATGTATACAGTATAACAGTAATTCATCATGCACTCAATAGATTTGGATTGAAAATACTTCATGGTGAGCTTCCAAAATTTTGCGTCCCTTGATAGTAGATTCAAATTTCTTCTCATCATCCATTGTCCACAATTTTGAAACATCTTCCTTGATATCAAATTCCCAACTTGAGAAGGTGTCATTAACCTTCGATTTTAAGCACTCTTTAGCTTCACTGTGTTTTTTAACACAATCTACTGAGTCAAGGTTCTCGCCTGAGTTTTCGTTGGGACTACCTTTTGCAATACTTTTTGCATTATTTTTAGATAAAGAAGGCATTGGCCAAATTTGGGTGCCTAACCACTTCAAACAATCATCACTATTATATTGTTTTATGTTAGTTGTGACATCCCATTCAGGAACTTCAGCTTGAAACCTAGGTCCAACGGGAATAAATGGTCTTGGAAGATGGTTAGCTCTAGAAGGTAAAAATTTATTTCGAGAATCCGCGAATTCCATGTCTTCTTCTTTTAGTTTCTCTTTGATTGATGTCGCAACACCATAAGAATAACTATTATTATCCATTAAATCACTAGCATGAATATAAAAGGTCACTTCGTTCATAAGATAGCTTGGTCGCTTCGCGGAATCTTCAACGTCACTTAGATGAGAATAGTCTTGTCTAGAAATAGCACAAAATTCTACCCTATCATTTTGAGTAGGGAAACCATAAGATAATTTTCTCTTTTGATCTTTGGCATTATCAGTACCATATTTTCTTTTACTGACAAGTTCAGAACCATTAGCAAATTTACCATCATTTATGTATTGCTTACATTTCCTCTTCTGAAATTTAAAAAATAATAAATTGTGACTCTATTACACGTAAAAACCATTCACGAGCATATACACTATCTTAGATAGTTATTTGATTGAGTATGTATGCTAAAATTATCAACAAAAAAATTAGACAAAATTACAGCGTTATTTTTTTAATAGATTGGTCTTTTTTTATATTTTGAATGTGTTAATTATGAATATAATTATTTTAATGATATAAAAATAATAAAATATAATAGTCACACATTTTTAAATATTCAAAATGAGTGAAAACTAACTTTGATAGTTGAAAAGTAAATACGTATACATACCTGTGAATTTTCGAAACTAGAATTCAACAGCATGGGAGCTTGGTGCTTTAGATTTTGAAGACTATGATGTGATGATTTTTTTTCAGAAGGTTTGGATGTTTTCTCTTTTGAACATATCATCGTATCTTTTTCTAGCATCCAACAACTCTAGAGCATACTCGAGACACAAGCACTTCAACTACAAGCAAATCACATTTACAAAACGATAGTATGAGAGTCACCTCCAAATAATGTTAATTAAATATTGCTCTTTTCGAATCACTAATATATTTAAGGTGGATAGGGTAACTCAATTATTTAGGTTAAATGACTATAAACAATTGATTTAGAGTAGGAATGTTAATGGAACGGGACAGGGCTGGGACATACATTCTCATCTTTATCCCCGGACTCGAATTTCCATCATGTGAGAACTTTGTCCCCCATCCTTATCTCTGAATCTTCATGGGTTTACCAAATTTTTATGAAAATTCATAAATGTTTTATTTTTAATCAAATTAATAAAAAAAAATTCAAAAACTAATCCTAAAAAATTAAGAAATTAATCCTTTATCATAAATATATTTTTTTAATAATATATTTATTTTTAATCAAATTAATAAAAAAGAATTCAAAAACTAATCTTTAAAAATTAAGAAATTTAATTCTTTATTATAAATATATTTTTTTAACAATATTTGATATATTATTTTGAGAATCATGACCACCCAGCTTTCAACTTGTTTATAACATAAATTATATGAAATGACAAATAAATGTAATGTTTTAAATTTGTTTATAAAATAAATTATATGAAATTCTAAATAAAAAAATAAAATGTTAAAATTCTATACAAACTAACGATATCATATTATTATTTTGTTCTCCATCCCCATCTCTACAAAAAAACAAATTCTCATTTTCAAAACTCCAAATAAAAAAATCCTCAAGAAGATTCTCACTAACAAAGGAATCCTTAATCTATAGTTTATTGTCTAACAAAAATCAATTGACTATGCAAAATTTGATAGTAAATGGTAAACTGGTAATAGTGAGATAATATTAAATGAGTACAATTCATTTAAGATATAAAAAATTAAAATTAGTTATTGTTGGGATGATTTTTACTAAAGAGCATTGAACATTGTGAAACTTTCCTTTACTATAGGAACGCTTTTGTGAGAGACACACCACATATATATCCAAAATTTTAAGGTGATAGGTGTGTGGATTCTCTCACTTATGAATGTTTAAGTCACCACATTTCTATCTAATGTGGGACTATCATTTAAGTCACCACATTTCTATCTAATGTTGGACTATTATCTACATTACTCACATTTGTTCCTTTACTAGAGCAACACCTTTGTGAGAGACACCACATATTCACCCAAAATTTTAAGGTGATAGGTGTGCAAATTCTCTCACTTATAAATGCTCAAGTCACCACATTCCTATCCAATGTGGGACTAGTATCTACACTACTCACATTTGTTCCTTTAGTAGAGCAACACCTTTATGAGAGACACACCACATATTCACCCAAAACCTTAAGGTGATAGGTGTGTGAATTCTCTCGCTTATAAATGTTCAAGTCACCACATTCCTATCAAATGTGGGACTATTATCTACATTACTCACATTTGTTCCTTTAGTAGAGCAACACATTTGTGCGAGACAAACCACATATTCACCCAAAACCTTAAGATGATAGGTGTGAGGATTCTCATTTATAAATGAAGTCACCGCATTCTTATCCAATGTGGGACTATTATCCACACTACTCACATTTGTTATACTTAACACTCTCCCTCAAATGTGAGTCTATCTACAATGCTTCCACAATGTTCCCCTTAAGCAGAAGCTTCAACTGTGCAACTGCACATTCTATTGTGTTGTGTGTTTCTTGCTCACCACCTTTGTACCGTCGTTGACACTCTTCAACGAGACACCTCTTAACCACCACCTATGGAGAGTATTTTCGATACAAGTGAGTCTCTAATACCACTGTTGGGGGAGTTTATGACTAGGGAATATTGAATATTATGAGACTTCTTTTATAAAAGAAACATAATTTGTGAGAGACACATCACATATTCAACCAAAACCTTAAGGTTTTGGGTGAATATGTGGTGTCTTTCTCACTTGTGTTACTCTGATATCATCTATTGGGGGAGATTTTTCACTATGGAGCATTGAACATTGAGACTTTCCTTTAATAGAGTAACACTTTTGTGAAAGGCACATCACATATTCACCCAAAACCTTAAGGTGATAGGTGTGTGAACTCTCCCACTTATAAATACTCAAGTCACCACATTCCTATTCAATGTGAGAATATTATTCACACTTGTTATACTTAATAACTATTAGTTAAATTAATGTCTAACAAAAACCAATTGAATTTGTAAAATTTGATAACAATTGGTAAATTGATAAAGTAGTTTTGAAAATAAAAAGTCAATCTTAAAAATGATTAAATGGTAAAACGAAAATAATAAGAGAAATTAAATAGGTGCGTAACAAAGTATATTGGAGAGAAAAAAAGATAGTTAAAGTCGAGAGAAGAGAGGGAAAGTTTTCATTATTTTCATAAAATAATGAAGAGTCATGAGGTAATTAAAGATAGTCATGAGGTTAATCTCAATAGTTTTCTTAATAATTTATCTTATAATTTTTTTAGATTTTCTTCTACCTCTAATTAATTGCCTCTTTTTAATTTGATCTACTCACCTAACAACAAAATCTATACGTCTTTTCTCTACATGTTCAAACTACTTAAACTTATTTTTCATCATCTTTTATACTATAGGTGTTACTCCTAACATTTTCTCTAATAGTATCATTTATAATCTTTATTTCATCAGTATAATAATGCACCAGACGCAACATCTTCATCTCTATTACACTTTCTTCTTATATTGACTCTTATCCATCAAACATTTGGTCTCGTACACTGTTGCAAGTTTTATCGTTGTCAGTTAAAATTTTCACTTCATCTGTTTTCAGTTAAAATTTTCACTTCATCTTTAGCGGTACTTTTGTCACATAAAACTTTTGAGACCCTTTTTCATTTCAACTATCCAACTTATATTCAATGGTATACATTCCCTTTTACTTTTTCATTATTTTATATTGCAGATATTTAAACTACGTGACTTGTAATATACTATGGTCGTCTCTGACTTTCAACTATAAATTAAAAACGCTTCTCATTTTTCTAAAAACACTCTTAAAATTAAAAATATATTAACTATAAGTATTTTCTTTTCTTTTCATTAACCACTAGGGGTGGAAATAAGATGGGCCGAGCTAGGCTTTATCAAGCCTAAGCCTAACTTGTCAAAAAAACTGAAGCCTAAGCCTAATCAATAATAGGTTATTTTTAGCTCTGAGTCTGACTTTCTTTAAGACTTGATTAGATTGTTCATAAAATGTTTTCATCTTATTTTCATAATTCTGTAAGATAATCAATTTTTATTTATATATTTTAATTCAAAATACAAAACATAACATAATGATAATAAAATAATATTAATATTTGGCGTGCCTGTAAGATTTAAAAGGCTTTTTTCATGACCTGAGACTTATCATTTTTAACTAAATAGGTTTATAAAAAAGGAAAATCTTCTCTATTTAAAAAAAAAACATGGTCTGGTCTAAACTTATGTAAACTAGATTGTAGGCCTCTGTTATCGATCTAACCTATTTTCACCCTTATTAACCACAAACACACTTTCTCAAATAAGACGAAAGAATTTTCTTTTATTCCCTTTCCTTCTATCCTCAAAATTTACCCTACCCACTCTTCTAAACTCTTAAACATACCCACTCTTCTAAACTCTTAAACAAACCAATAAAATATAATAAAGAGGGAAAGAGTTGCAAAAGAAATTTGATCAAGATCATACTAAGAAGAAGAAGTCCTTAGAGCAACAAAGCTTAAATGTCAATGTCCATGTCAAGCAAGGTAGTCAAGATCGAGTGCTGGATCGTAAGATCTTACGTGCTAAATTTACCTTTTAGTGCTACGATCTTAAAAAAAAACTTTTTTGTGTATCTTTGTAGTCAAGATCGAGTTTTCCATAGTAAGATCGTAAAACATATAGTGCTAGGCGCCTAGGCCTGTTTTGTTGGGCTTTTCTAAGTGAACCCAGCTTTTTAATTAAGTTCTCAGACCTAACCCTAAAACACCAAAAGAGCTTTTTAATTAAGTTCTCAGACCTAACCCTAAAACACCAAAAGACAAAACGGCTGCATCTTTACTCCTTACTCGATATTATTCTTTCTCCTTTAACAATTCTTCTCTCTACAACTTTCCACCATCATCATAACCCTTATTCTCCCTCATCATAACCATTCTTCTCCCTCATCATCTTCATTCTTCTCTCTCTGTATCCACCTTCTTCCTACTACTGTTCTTTTCTTATTAATTAAATTGGTTGAGTGTTGTGATTTATAGGTTATTTTGTTCATTTATTATAGTTTTTCATGTTTTTGTCCATGTGAAATTACAATTTTACCCTTTGGTAAGATCTTAAGTGTCGTGCTACAATCTTTTGTAAGTTGTCTGATCCTACTTAAGATCCCGTGCTTGACTACCTTGATGTCAAGTATAATCATCAACTAGAAATAGAACAAAAGTCTAGAGAGGAGAAAGAAGATGCTTAAGATCCTATATGGAGTCTGAGATTTATTTAGTAGCTAATACTAAATTCGTTCTTAAATATAAAATAACTCATTTTTGATATTCATAATTAATATATTTGGTCAATTTATAGACTAGATACTTTAATTATTCAATGAACTAAAAAAATGATTCATCTCTTATAAAAAGGAACGGAGATAGTATATGATTTATATTTTGTTGTCTAGATATATTACTTATTCAGTAAATCTGAAAAACAAATTTTTTTTATAAATATAATGAGAGAAGTATTTTATCATTCTAAGTAAATCATTCATTATTTATAAATTCAAACAATATAATCTCGTTATTTACCATTTTAATCGATACCACCGACCCAAACACATCTTAAATTTACATTTGAGCA